ATTAACCATGTGATTAAGATTATATTGTGAGCAAAACATGAATAACAGGTGTGGATTATTGTAGACCATGGATGCCAATAAAAACACTATTATGCTGGATATGATGTATGGTGTTTTCTCCTTTTGAGCTTTGAATTGTAAGTGGAGATTAGCCTGGGAGCTGTGTCAGCACCCATGTCAGGGAGCCTAAACTATAATGTAGACTTTAGTTTATATCTATAATGGCTTCCTTCTTGTGACCATATGGAAATGTCCAGCTTAAAGGAGGAGTTGTTGGTAGCAAAACAACCTTTAAAGGAATTCTGTCCCTCAGATGGAAATACTCATTAACCTAGAACACGCAGGCAAATCAGGTGTTCTGACTTCACGTGGTGCATATATGATCAAGGTCAGTGATTCAGAAAGTCAAAGGGTCATGTTAATAGGCATTATCCAAAGTGAGGAAAGCAACGGTGCCCTAAATTATAAACTCAAGAATATTTTCCTTTAAGAGACTCATAAGACCTCAAAAATATCAATACAATTCATAGCTTTCTCTCCCTCTCCTCCGGCACTTTCCCCTCCCCACTGAAGCATGCACACATCACCCCCATACTTAAAAAGCCCTCCCTGGACCCCAATGACCCGAAAAACCTCAGACCCATCTCCCTGCTCCCATTTACATCTAAACTCCTCGAGCGCCTCGTCTACACCCGCCTATGCTCTCACCTCAACGACAACAACCTCCTCGATCCCTTACAGTCTGGCTTCCGTCCCCTACACTCCACCGAAACCGCCTTACTCAAACTCTCCAATGACCTGCTAACCGCCAAAGCTAATGGCCACTATTCAGTGCTCCTACTCCTTGACCTCTCTGCGGCCTTCGACACAGTTGACCACCCCCTCCTCCTCAAAATACTACACTCCCTCGGCCTCAGAGATTCTGCTCTCTCCTGGCTCTCATCCTACCTGTCACAACGCTCTTTCAGCGTTACCTATAATGCTACCACCTCCCCCTCACTCCCCCTCTCTGTTGGGGTCCCTCAAGGCTCTGTCCTTGGGCCCCTTCTCTTCTCCATCTACACCTCCTCCCTTGGCCAACTCATACACTCTCACAGCTTCAACTACCACCTCTATGCCGACGACACACAAATCTATCTCTCAACCCCCCACCTCACCCCCTCGGTCTCTGCCCGAATCACACACACCTACTGAGCGACATATCAGATTGGATGTCGCTCCACTTCCTTAAACTGAATCTCTCCAAAACCGAGTTTCTTGTCTTCCCCCCAGCCTGAACCCCAACCCCCATTGACTTCTCCATCACATCCAACAACGCCAATATCAAACCGCCCTGCATGCCAGAGTACTTGGTGTCATTCTGGACTCCAACCTATCCTTCCAGCCCCAAGTCCAATCTTTAACAAACTCGTGCAGACTCCACCTCCGCAACATCACCAAAATCTGCACGTTCCTAACCCCAGAAAAACCACTAAACAGCTCATCCACTCCCTCATCATATCACGACTCGACTACTGCAACTCCCTCCTCACTGGCCTGCCTCGCCGCTGGCTATCCCCGCTTCAGTCGATCCTGAATACGGCTGCCAGACTCATTCACCTTTCCAACAGCTCCGTTTCCGCCACCCCCCTCTGCCAATCCCTCCACTGGCTTCCGATTGCGCAACGGATCAAATTTAAAATCCTAACACTGACGTACAAAGCTGTCCACCATACTGCCCCGAACTACATCACCGACCTAATATCCAAGTACCACCCAGCACGCACACTCCGCTCCTCACAAGACCTCCTTTCTCTCTAGTTCCCTGGTCTCCTCCTCCCATGCCTGCCTCCAGGACTTCTCCAGGGTGTCACCCATCCTCTGGAACTCCCTTCCCCAACCCATCAGATTATCACCTACTCTCCTCTCCTTTAGGCACACCCTGAAAACCCATCTCTTCAGGGAAGCCTACCCCCTGCTAACTTGACCGACCTCCTCCACTCTTCCTACCACTCCATCCCCCACAGCTATCTCCTCCTGTACCACTATCCCGTCCCTTCTAGATTGTAAGCTCGAAAGAGCAGGGCCCTCGATCCCCTCATGTTTTGCATTGTATTGGTATTGTTCTGTCACATGTTCTGTCCCCCTTTGTAATGTACAGCACTGAGTGAACTATTGGCATAATAATAATTAGAGATGAGCGAAGAAATGAAAAATTCGATTCGACTGATTCGGCGAATTCGTGGACAATATTCGATTCGAGTCGAATAAATTCGCTGTGAATTTAACTTAAAAAAGGGTGTTTCTAGGCTTCAGAGAGACTTAATATTAGTGCAGAACACTGTACCTTTAATTTAAATGCCCTTGGAGTCTGCTGGGGAAGAGAAATAATACTGTCACTCAGTATGACATGCAGATGAGTGCCGTCGATCTTAGAATCACCGCACACTTCACTCATTTGGCCAGTCACGGGGCCAAAACCAGTGTTTGGAGCCACAGTGTGGCGGTGGAGGCAGCAGCAATGGGAGGCCATACAGCAACCTATGACAAAATGGAAACCAGCAGGAGTGTGAGGAGACCTGAAAGTGGCACATGCAGTGGGAGCAATGGGAGGCGGTACAAGGACCCATGTCACACTGTGGACCCAGCAGCAGCGTGACCAGGCGGTACGGGGGCCCATAGCAGATTACAGGCCTGGCAGCAGCAATGGGAGGCCCGTAATCTGCCAGCACCCTATGACAAAAAATGGAACACACCAGCAGTGTGTGAGGAGACCTGAAAGTGGCACATGGCAGAGTGTGGCGATGGAGAGACAGCAGCAATGGGAGGCCGTACAGGGACCCATGAGAGACTCTGGACCTGGCAGCAGCATGAGGAGGCGGTATAGGGGCCCATGGCAGATTAGGGGCCTGGCAGCAGCTATAGGAGGCCCGTAATCTGCCAGCACCCTATGACAAAAAAAAAATTGAACACACCAGCAGTGTGTGAGGAGACCTGAAAGTGGCACATGGCATGAGACACTCTGGACCTGGCAGCAGCATGAGGAGGCGGTATATAGGGGCCCATGGCAGATTAGGGGCCTGGCAGCAGCTATGGGAGGCCCGTAATCTGCCAGCACCCTATGTCAAAAAATTTAAAACACAAGCAGTGTGTGAGGAGACCTGAAAGTGGCACATGTTTGGGGCATGATTCATGGCGGATTTAGTCAGCAATGTTGTGTCAGGAACTAGTGGTTTGAAATCCAGACTAATCCACGCCTGATTCATTTTCACAAACGTGAGTCTCTCCACACTTTGGGTGGACAGTCGTGTCCTCCGCGGAGTTGCAATACCTCCTGCCGCACTAAACACGCGCTCCGATGCCACGCTACTGGCCGGGGCATGACAGCCTTTCAAGGGCAAATTCAGCTAGTTGGGGTCAAAGGTCAAGTTTTGTTGCCCAGTAGTCAAGGGGATTGTCTACCTCGGTTGGCAGGGTGCTGTCCAAGTAGGCCTAAGCCTGTTGTTTGAGGTCCTGCTCCAGGTCCACCTGATGCTGCTGCTGCTGCTGCGGCTGGTTAGTAGTTTCCTCACTGCGCTGGTGGTGAAGAAAGCTACTCATCATCGACTGCAGACTGAGGCAGCCGCTGCTGGTGGAGCTGCCACTGCTCCTACCACCCCACCCCTCCCCTGCTGCCATGGCAGCGGAACGCGAGCGCACAGGGCCCACAGTGTCTGAGGATGGACGTTGGCGCAGAAAGGCAGAGACCAGCTGACTACATAGGTGGTTTTTATAGTACGTTATTTTGGCCTCCCTCTCAGCAGGTGTGAAAAAGGCCACCATTTTTGAACGGTAGCGAGGGTCCAACAAGGTGGACAGCCAAAAGTCATCCCTCTGTCTGATGGTTATTATTCGGCTGTCGCTACGCAAGCAAGCGAGCATGCTATGGGCCATTTGTGCCAAGGAATGCGAGGGACTCCCTACCTCCATCTCCACAGCATACTGCCACGGTGCGTCTGGGTCCTCTGTCTCCTCCTCCTCCTCCTCCTCTACCAGATGCTCCTGCTCCTCCACTCCTGTCCGCTGAGTGGAAAAACCACCCATTTCACTCAATAATTCCTGAGCACCAATGTCCTCCTCTACCTCCTCCTCTCTTCTTCCTGTCCTGCCCCCACAGGGGTCATGTGGCGTTGAGATCTGTGCGCCACGTCTACCGCACCCTGACCAGCCATTGTTAACAGCATTTGTTCCAGGACGTGCAACAGAGGAATGACGTCGTTCATCCCATAGTCCTGCCAACTCACGAATAGCGTGGCCTCCTCAAAGGGCCTGAGCAAGCGCAGGTGTCACGCATGAGCTGCCAATGGCTGACATCTAAGTTACACAGGGAGTACCTTTATCCGCTTTTAACATCAGGAAATCTGTGATGGCCTTTCGCTGTTCGTAAAGGCGGTCTAACATATGTAGGGTTGAATTCCACCTTGTTGCAACGTCACAGCATGAGGAGTCGGTACGGGGGCCCATGGCAGATTACGTGCCTGGCAGCAGCAATGGGAGGCCCGTAATCTGCCAGCACCCTATGTCAAAAAATTGAACACACACCAGCAGTGTGAGGAGACCTGAAAGTGGCACATGGCAGAGTGTGGCGATGGAGACAGCAGCAATGGGAGGCCGTACAGGGACCCATGAGAGACTCTGGACCTGGCAGCAGCATGAGGAGGCGGTATATAGGGGCCTATGGCAGATTAGGAGCCTGGCAGCAGCTATGGGAGGCCCGTAATCTGCCAGCACCCTATGTCAAAAAAATTCTACACACCAGCAGTGTGAGGAGACCTGAAAGTGGCACATGGCAGAGTGTGGCGATGGAGACAGCAGCAATGGGAGGCCGTACAGGGACCCATGAGAGACTCTGGACCTGGCAGCAGCATGAGGAGGCGGTATATAGGGGCCTATGGCAGATTAGGAGCCTGGCAGCAGCTATGGGAGGCCCGTAATCTGCCAGCACCCTATGTCAAAAAATTCTACACACCAGCAGTGTGAGGAGACCTGAAAGTGGCACATGGCAGAGTGTGGCGATGGAGACAGCAGCAATGGGAGGCCGTACAGGTGGACCCATGAGAGACTCTGGACCTGGCAGCAGCATGAGGAGGCGGTATATATAGGGGCCTATGGCAGATTAGGGGCCTGGCAGCAGCTATGGGAGGCCCGTAATCTGCCAGCACCCTATGTCAAAAAAATTCTACACACCAGCAGTGTGTGAGGAGACCTGAAAGTGGCACATGGCAGAGTGTGGCGATAGAGACAGCAGCAATGGGAGGCCGTACAGGGACCCATGAGAGACTCTGGACCTGGCAGCAGCATGAGGAGGCGGTATATAGGGGCCTATGGCAGATTAGGGGCCTGGCAGCAGCAATGGGAGGCCCGTAATCTGCCAGCACCCTATGTCAAAAAATTCTACACACCAGCAGTGTGTGAGGAGACCTGAAAGTGGCACATGGCAGAGTGTGGCGATGGAGACAGCAGCAATGGGAGGCCGTACAGGGACCCATGAGAGACTCCCTGGACCTGGCAGCAGCATGAGGAGGCAGTATACAGGGGCCTATGGCAGATTAGGGGCCTGGCAGCAGCTATAGGAGGCCCATAATCTGCCAGCACCCTATGTCAAAAAATTCAACACACCAGCAGTGTGAGGAGACCTGAAAGTGGCACATGGCATGAATACGCTGTAGTCCCAACATGGGCCCCCTGGCCACGCTTGACTTTCTGGCCACATAGTCGACATACGGCTACGTTTACTTCCTCGGGCGGGCTTGACGAAAAATTGCCACAGCCGCCGAGTAGGAAACTTTGCCCCCGATACTCCTCACTGGCTGACTGCTGCTTCCTCCGTGCACACCGGCACCACTACTGGCCGTGGTGGTAGGCTGCAGTGGAGCTGGTGCTCTACAGGGACCCGTGGCCGTTTGGCTCCACTGACACTGCTTCCACTGACACTGCTGCGACCCCTGCTGCTGTCTCCTGGGCAACCCACCGACTGTTTCGCTCACTGCCAAGCTGCCACCCTCTTCTCCTGATGATGCGGAAGAAAATTGCCTGATGACGACGAGGCTGCCAAGTGCGATCAACCTCCTCATCATCAAGTAGGGTCTCCGCCTCACTACTAGCCCCCTCGGCTGCATCTGGGTCAGGAGACAGACCTGTCTCTAGACCGGCTACCGGGCCACTCTCCTCGCCACTACTTCTTCGCCTGGCTGCTGAAAAGGCGGATGTCTCCCCCCGTTCCTGACCGCCCTCTGTTAGCTCTTCCTCACTGTACAGTGGGGCTGAGCCCACAGCATGCGATACTTCGCTTGGTGAGGGAACACCAAAGGACAGGGGCAGGTAGAGGACACGTGATTTCAGTGGGCTTGGTCCCTGGGCCATGCCAACTAACGGTTGTGTCTGACGTACCCACCGACCGTTGGCTGTAGTGTCAGAGGTGACCTGGGAAGAGGAAGACGACCGAGCCAACCAATCGATGACGGCAGGGTTGTCGGTGGAGACACGACCGCTGGATGACACCGGGAGCACTGGCCTCTGGCTGCGAATAGTGCTGCCTCGACCCCTTCCTCTGCTGCCACGTCTGCTCGCTCCTAAAACATTGCCTCCTCTGCCACTCCTCTGCATGTTGTCTGACATACTCTTTAATTAAACGATTATGTGTCCCTGAGTAACAATTCTGTGTCCCTGAGTAACAATTCTGTGTCTGTGCGAGTAACAATTCTGTGGCCCTAAGTAACAGTTCTGTGGCCCTCAGTAACAATTCTGTGTCCCTGATTAACGTTTCTGTGGCCCCAAGTAACAGTTCTGTGGCCTCAGTAACAATTCTGTGTCTGTGCGAGTAACAATTCTGTGGCCCTAAGTAACAGTTCTGTGGCCCTCAGTAACAGTTCTGTGTCCCTGAGTAACAATCTTCTGTGTCTGTGCGAGTAAGAATTCTGTGTCTGTGCGAGTAACAATTCTGTGGCCCTAAGTAACAGTTCTGTGGCCCTCAGTAACAGTTCTGTGTCCCTGAGTAACAATTCTGTGTCTGTGCGAGTAACAATTCTGTGCGCCCTAAGTAACAGTTCTGTGGCCCTCAGTAACAGTTCTGTGTCCCTGAGTAACAATTCTGTGGCCCTAAGTAACAGTTCTGTGGCCCTCAGTAACAATTCTGTGTCCCTGATTAACGTTTTCTGTGGCCCCAAGTAACAGTTCTGTGGCCCTCAGTAACAATTCTGTGTCTGTGCGAGTAAGAATTCTGTGTCTGTGCGAGTAGTAACAATTCTGTGGCCCTAAGTAACAGTTCTGTGGCCCTCAGTAACAGTTCTGTGTCCCTGAGTAACAATTCTGTGTCTGTGCGAGTAACAATTCTGTGGCCCTAAGTAACAGTTCTGTGTGGCCCTCAGTAACAATTCTGTGTCCCTGATTAACGTTTCTGTGGCCCCAAGTAACAGTTCTGTGGCCCTCAGTAACAATTCTGTGTCTGTGCGAGTAACAATTCTGTGGCCCTAAGTAACAGTTCTGTGGCCCTCAGTAACAATTCTGTGTCCCTGATTAACGTTTCTGTGGCCCCAAGTAACAGTTCTGTGGCCCTCAGTAACAATTCTGTGTCTGTGCGAGTAACAAATCTGTGTCCGTGCGAGTAACAATTCTGTGGCCCTAACAGTTCTGTGGCCCATAAGTAACAGTTCTGTGTCCCTGAGTAACAATTCTGTGTCCCTGAGTAAGAATTCTGTGTCTGTGCGAGCAACAATTCTGTGGCCCTAAGTAACAGTTCTGTGGCCCTCAGTAACAGTTTCTGTGTCCCTGAGTAACAATTCTGTGTCAATTCTGTGCGAGTAACAATTCTGTGTCTGTGCGAGTAACAATTCTGTGTCTGTGCGAGTAACAATTCTGTGGCCCTAAGTAACGGTTCTGTGGCCCTCAGTAACAGTTCTGTGTCCCTGTGTAACAATTCTGTGTCTGTGCGAGTAACAATTCTGTGGCCCTAAGTAACAGTTCTGTGGCCCTCAGTAACAATTCTGTGTCTGTGCGAGTAACAATTCTGTGTCTGTGCGAGTAACAATTCTGTGGCCCTAAGTAACAGTTCTGTGGCCCTCAGTAACAATTCTGTGTCCCTGATTAACGTTTCTGTGGCCCCAAGTAACAGTTCTGTGGCCCTCAGTAACAATTCTGTGTCTGTGCGAGTAACAATTTTGTGTCTGTGCGAGCAACAATTCTGTGGCCCTAAGTAACAGTTCTGTGGCCCTCAGTAACAGTTTCTGTGTCCCTGAGTAACAATTCTGTGTCTGTGCGAGTAACAATTCTGTGTCTGTGCGAGTAACAATTCTGTGTCTGTGCGAGTAACAATTCTGTGGCCCTAAGTAACGGTTCTGTGGCCCTCAGTAACAGTTCTGTGTCCCTGTGTAACAATTCTGTGTCTGTGCGAGTAACAATTCTGTGGCCCTAAGTAACAGTTCTGTGCCCTCAGTAACAATTCTGTGTCCCTGATTAACGTTTCTGTGGCCCCAAGTAACAGTTCTGTGGCCCTCAGTAACAATTCTGTGTCTGTGCGAGTAACAATTCTGTGTCTGTGCGAGTAACAATTCTGTGGCCCTAACTAACAGTTCTGTGGCCCTCAGTAACAATTCTGTGTCTGTGCGAGTAACAATTCTGTGTCTGTGCGAGTAACAATTCTGTGGCCCTAAGTAACGGTTCTGTGGCCCTCAGTAACAGTTCTGTGTCCCTGTGTAACAATTCTGTGTCTGTGCAAGTAACAATTCTGTGGCCCTAAGTAACAGTTCTGTGGCCCTCAGTAACAATTCTGTGTCTGTGCGAGTAACAATTCTGTGGCCCTAAGTAACAGTTCTGTGGCCCTCAGTAACAATTCTGTGTCTGTCCCTGAGTAACAATTCTGTGGCCCTAACTAAAGTTTCTGTGGCCCTAAGTAACAATTCTCTGGCACTCAGTAACAATTCTGTCTGTCCCTGAGTAACAATTCTGTGGCCCTAATAACGTTTCTGTGGCCCTAAGTAACAATTATCTGGCACTCAGTAACAATTCTGTCTGTCCCTGAGTAACAACTCTGTGGCCCTAATAACGTTTCTGTGGCCCTAAGTAACAATTCTCTGGCACTCAGTAACAATTCTGTCTGTCCCTGAGTAACAATTCTGTGGCCCTAATAACGTTTCTGTGGCCCTAAGTAACAATTCTCTGGCACTCAGTAACAATTCTGTCTGTCCCCGAGTATGAATTCTGTGTCCCTAACTAGCGTTTCTTTGTCCCTAAGTAACGATTCTGTGGCCCTAATTAACAAATCTGTGTCCCTGAGTAATAGTTCTCTGTCCCTAAGTATCGTTTCTCTGTCCCCAAGTATCGTTTCTGTGGCCCTAACTCTGTCCCTGTCCCTAATACAGAGCGGTCTGCCTCTGTTCAATGACTGCAGGCAAATGAAGAATTCCAAAAATGGCCGCTATTTATAGCTCGACCATTACACAGTGCTAGCTGGCTGGCTGCTGATTGGCTGATGCGATCACATGTCGTTGAGGAATGCATTATGGGTCAGCGCGCCTTGTCTGCGTGCCTTCCCAGAGATCCCCGCTCTGTCGCCGCACATGTCAGCCGCCATTTTCGGAAAAAATTTTCGATTCGCGCGCGTCCGAATTAGGCTATTTTTCGGATTCGGCGCAAATCGAAATTTTTTCCGATATTCGACTCGAATTCCACTTCGGCTACTTCGATTCGCTCATCTCTAATAATAATAATAGCTTTAAAGGCAACCTGTGCTATGACAAAGAAAACAGGTTAATTTAACTGCTATCCTTCCTAGCTCCATATTCTTACCTTACCTTCTCTCCCCTATCTTCTGTTGGACCATTAGAAGATAACTGAAATAACCTGATACCTCTGCACATGGTTTGCATGCAACTTATTCACCTAGCACCACATAACAGCAGTTTTGCTTGGTGATTAGTCGTTCAGGCATCAAAAGCTATAACGGGAGCTGGACAGAAAATCTTCTCAAAGTTGAGAAATTAATGGGTTATATATATACTCACCGACACACTTTGTCAGGTACACCTGTTCAATTGCTTGGTAACACAAATTGATAATCAGTCAATCACATGGCAGCAATTCAATGCATTTAGGCATCTAGATGTGGTGAAGAGGACTTGCTAAAGTTCTAACCGATCATCAGAATGGGGAAGAAAATAGGATTTAAGTGACTTTGAATGTGGCATGGTTGCTGGTGCCATATGGGCTGGTCTTAGTATTTCAAAAGCTGCTGATCTACTGGGATTTTCATGCACAACCATCTCTACAGTTTACAGAGAATGATCTGAAAAAGAGAAAATATCCAGTGAGCGGCAGTTGTTTGCACGAAAATGCCTTGTAGATGTCAGAAGTCAGAGGAGAATGGGCAGATTGATTGATAGGAAGGCAACAGTAACTGAAATAAACCACTCGTTACAACCAATCTCTGAATGCACCACTTC